AATAACTGGGTAAAAAAAGGAGTATCGTTCAAACAACTCTTGCCGACAAGCTCCTGCCAACAAAATAAAACCCCCCCCAACAAGGGGCGGTAGCTTTGTCAGCGGGAGTGCGCAGTCCACATTGTTGCTTGTCCACACCATCACTTGTCCACACCATCGTTTGGTAAAACTTTTGTCGCTTGGGGTATGAAAAAACACACCCCGGACCGACAAAAGTTTTACCAAACGATGGTGTGGACAAGTGATGGTGTGGACAAGCAACAATGTGGACTGCGCACTCCCGCTGACAAAGCTACCGCCCCTTGTTGGGGGTGGTTTTATTTTGTTGGCAGGAGATTGTCGGCAAGAGATGACGGACCTATCCTCTTTTTTTAACCCAGTTATACTTCACAACATTCCCGGGCAATGAGTTCCACTGGTTGACTATACATTGTGTGAAGAAGTACTTCTTTATGTTTGTTTTACAACTGCTGTCTATTAATTCCATTGGGTGACCCACGGTTTGTGTGTTATGTTAATGGGTAAATAACACTTCCTTATTCACTTTCTCCACATCTTTTATCGACCTCTATCATGTCTTTCCTTTCCAAGCTGAACAGCCCCAATCTTTGTAATAATATCTCCTCATATGGAAGCTGCTCCATACCCCTAATCATTTTTTCCTTTCTGTACTTTTTTCCAATTCTAATATATCTTTTTTTGAGATGGGACGACCAGAACTGCACTCAGTATTCAAGGTGTGGGTGTACCATGGATTTATATAGTGACATTATATTTTCTGTCTTATTATCTATCCCTTTCCTAATGGTTCCTGCCTGACATTCTGTTAGCTTTTTTGACTGCCACTCTACATTGAGCAGATACATTTCCCTTGAGTTAAGCCTACCCCATCATCAATAGAGCTTAAAGGGATTAGAGATCAAAGGATGGCAGGCCAGAGCCTCCTTAGAAAGCACTCAGCCTTGCCTAGCAGGCTGCTAGGCTTACATAGCCCCCAAACAGACCACACTATAAACTTCAAGTGAGCAGGCACTCAGCAAGCAAGCAAGCACACAGCCAGTGAGAGAGTGATTCACTAACCACCACAGTAAATGGGGGGGTATTTCCTGGCTCTATTCCATCACTCAGTGAAGGTTCTTGCTCCCATGGCAGTGGATTGGGAGAAAAATGGGGAGGGATGCTGCAGGACTGGCAAAAGTCCTGTTGCTTTGGCAGCAGAAGAGATGTGAGGTAGTGTGACAAAAGCCCTAAATTAAAAATGAAGTACTACGTTTTATCCATCCGGATGACCTGCTAACATAGTAGATCAGAATTTGGACCTAGTGTTGCAATGTGCTGAGTGCCTTCTGAGCACTTCTGAGTACCCTCACCTCACATTATCTTCAATGGAAGGTAAGTGTGCTTAGTGTCTTTCAAGAGCAGTTCAGCACCTCGCAGGATCAGTCCTTTTATTTTAGAAAACCAAAGTGGGCTGGGGATGGCAGGGGGCAAGGGGCAGCCCTTGAGAAGCTGGAAGCATCAGGTTGGAAGGATCACATCTGTTCACTTGAATTTTCCACAGCCCCTGGTGAGAATCAAAGCCATTCCATTTCATTCATCTGTTTCTCCCTGTCAAGCCAGCCTTCCATCTCCAGAGTCTCGGGGCTTTCCCAGCAAGCTAATGTTTACCTATTATCCTGTTAGTCACCCCCTACCTTTTTAGTTCATTATGTACCGGGATGAAATAATGAACTCCTTCAAGTAATTTACCACAAAGCACCACAGTTAAATTAGTTTGAGATTTCAGTGACCTTTCCTGTTTGTCATCTGACAGGATAAAAGTCTAGGAATTTTTAGAAGATGAGTTGGATTTGGATGAAAATACGCAGATTGAGTGTGTCAGAGTTTCCATTAGGAAAGCAGGGGTTGCTGCCAAATAGAAAGACACTAGCAGAATATTCACTGTATTTTCACCCCTACCACTCACTGCTATGACAGAAAGTTCTTTGCGTACCACAGTTACAAAACGTCTGAAATATAACCAAGAAAAAAACTGGGACAATTGGGAAACAGCAAAGATGGCCTTCAGCCATCAGTGTTATGATCTTCTCACCGCAAGGTCCTGAACTTTTAAATACCAGTTACTTTGAAATTGGAGGGATTGCAGTGGTAAAATAGTTTATGAGCTGTTGAGTGAAATTTGGCTATTTCTTTAGGTGGTAAAGCTTAGGACTTGAATAAGTAGTATGTGAAGCAAGAAATGGCTGCCAGGTTGGGCAAGCACCAAAGGCCAGATGAGCTGTGGTAAATCACAATAAATCCCTTGAATTCAATGGAAGTAGACCAATTTACACCAAGTGGGGACATGCCCCCAAAGAGTAATTATGAGACTTACATAATCTACCAGCCTTTTATTGAGTATTTTACTGGTTTCTAAACACCATTGCTATTACAGAGGAGGGAAAACCAATTGGAAGCTGAAACAACCCATTCGCTTTTGTAATTTAGAAATGATTTATTATTCAGTTTTTCTGACGTTTTGTGGCTGTCTGAGGAAATGGCTGAGGTAAAGGGTTGAATGGTGGCGGTGTGTCAATCAGCCTAATGCATGAAAGGCATTAGTTGTGTTGAAGGACTCATGCAGTTGGCTTCTCAGTCAGATTTTGGCTAAAATGTGAAATCTCTGCTCCACCCTTGCTCCAGGGTGTATTAATTCGCTGCTGGGTTATCTCAGTTGATTAGCATTTTGGGAGGAAGAGGGGAGCCAAGGCTCTGCCTATTCCCTTCCCCATCCACCTGATTTGTCGGTAGTTGTGGGTAAATAATGCTTGCTTACTGCTGCACATCCGGTCTGGTTAACCAGTGCAGGGATGTAAAAGAGGTTCTTACTGTCCTTTATGGACATGCACTCTGACCCACAACCCAACCCAGTGCTACCATTTGAAGAACAAGGTACTGCCTAGTGTGAGTAAGGTGTGCTTCTGAGGGGAGAATTTTGTCCTAAGTTTGGTAAAAGACACAAGTTCAGCAAGCTGTCGGGTTTTTTAGAACAATTGAACGTTTTGTGCATGTGTGTTATAATGTAACCACTTTGCTGTTTGCAGGCATGAAGCCAGGTTTAAACAACATATGCTGGAACTGACGGACACGAACAACATTGCCTACTTGTTTCTGTCGGCTGCCAACAGATGGCTGGAGGTCAGGACGGTACGTACAGTGTAGTCCCCGCTATGGTTTTGAAACCTTGGAAGCAAACAGAGACTTTGCCTGATGCACAAGGCGAGATAATAGATGAAATTAATCTCACAATGAGATATAACAGTTTTGTGTACAGTGATCCTTAAAATAGCTCAGGGTTGTTTATATTATAGCAGCAAGGGTTGGGGTTTTTTTTTGGCTTTCTTGGCTTGGGGTAAGAAAATACAAGGCTCCTTCATACTTCAGTGTTGGGATGTTGATTGTTCTGAAAAGAGTGCAACAGAAAATATCTACATAACTTTGAAATAAGACTCTCTGTTCACAGAAATAAATTCTTCTACTACAGTGCAACATCTGAGGCACTGCCCAAGTGGAAACTAATTTCAAAGGGGTTTCGGTAGTTTTGCCAATTTTGCAATAATTCTGTTTTTGGTTTTTATGCCACCTTTTATCTCTCAGGACCCCAAAGCATTTCCCAAATGAAGGGCCCAGGCCTGAGGGCCTCACTCATAGCCTGATTCTGCCAGGATACCCTTCAAAGTCCATAGGGCCATTTGTGGAGTAAAATACTCCTTCACTTGAGTAAAGATGGCAGAACTGGGCCCTGAGTAAGGGCCCACTTCTGGGGCTCAGTAAGAGCTGGGCATTTGGCAGCAATAAACCCCCAAACAGAGGGTCAGATGCTTGGCCCTGATATAAGTTCTCAGTGGCTGGGACATAAGGAGCCTCCCTCCGTGTTCATGGTCTCCATAAGGGTCAGACAGAATTATTACTCCCTCCCTACTCACCTAGCATTCCAAAGAAGGGCCAAGGAGTAGGCAGGCCCATGTCCTTCCCTTCTGTGCCAGAGACAGAGAGACTGGGACCTAAGCTTCACCCTTGGAATGGTTTAGTGTCAGGTACACTTCACCTGCATATTGAGATCTCCATGTGGCATTCTGCCTCCTTGGACTCCCTTGGAACAGCACAGTTCTGCTTCATTTCTCACTCTGGACAGGATTTGGCTCTGAGTAAGATCTCAGGGTTCAGCCCTGTACAGTATCAATGAACTGCAGTGATGTTCCATTTGTACCCAGTAAAAGAAAGATGAAGTTAAAGGGCAAAATCCAGCCCTGGTATAAGCTATTGTAATTCCATTAAAATCTCTTGATGGTGGACTTGCTGAGTATCAATGTTCTCCAAAAATACATATCTCTTCTATCAGCTCTTTGGGTTTTTTAAAAATACTATGTGGAGGAATGCAGTGTTGCCAAGTAATAGCTAATTAGGCTATGTGCAATGGTATTGTTATCACACAGAGCCATATGGGTTTCAGAGTGACTGCACAGCTCCTATTCCAATAGCTGATGGAGACCCAAGTGTACTGTACATCTAACACACTTTCTTGCTACAGAGATTGGGTTAGAGGCTACTATCATCTTCACTTTAGCATTCCTACAAGCAGATTAATTGAGCAGTATTCATTGCAAATCGTAGAGGGAAAGATTCTTGGATGGAAAGAGGAGAAAAATCAAAAGAAAAAATGCTGACTCTGAAATAGCATGGGAGAATTGCAGTGGCAGATGACAGAATTTAGGTATCAATGACCTGACTGTGTCCACAAATCCCATCAGGTACCTAGAAATCTACAGTTGATCATTTTTATCTGACATTAGCTGCAAAATTTGGATAATAAATTTAGAGCGTGGACTGAGGCTTCTTTAAAAATGTGAGGAATCAGGTTTTTATCCATCTTTAAATATCTGGAGTTCTACAAAACAGAAAGCAGGCTGCACCTTTAGGGTGAAACATTCTCACCCCAAATGGGAAAAGTAAAAATTTCAGCTAAAATGATGAATATAAAATACCTCCTTTATTTCATCATCCATCCAGCCATCTATGAGTTTTATACTGGTCCCCATCACTCTAGTAATTGAGGAACTTCCACATACAATAAATAGCAATAGCAAGTCCCTAGTCGACTTAATGGAGTCTCTGGCACTTCTTCCTGTTTGGGATCAAAAGTCTGCTCGGGGGTTGGGAAAAAGGGGGTGTCAGTGTTGTGGGTGTCATTTTTATGATGGAAAGGATTTTTCAAAGAAGAAGATTGTTTTAGTGACTAGTCATTTTGGATGCCTGCTTTTTGGTGCCTTATTTGAGGCACTTAAATGGGTCTGATTTCCAGAAAGCGCTTGTCCTCTGAATATCAGGCTCCTTCAAAGGGTCTCATGCTGGGCACTAAAAATGACTGGTCCCTTCTGAAAACTTAAATGTCTGAACTGAGGGCAAGGGAAATATAGAAGAAGATGCTTTCTGATATTATAAGGCTTTATTTTGTCACTGGATTTTTCATTCAACTTGTATTATAGGATCTATCTTTTTTTCCCCTTCCTTCCTTTTTAGGATTATCTGGGTGCTTGCATAGTTCTCACCGCAGCTGTTACGTCCATCACCTACAAGCCCGAGTCTGGTATCTTGGGCCTGGGTCTCCTGTACGCACTGACGGTATGTACCAAAACAAACATCAAGAAACTTGAGACCAATCTACTAGATTTAAGGTGGTTTTAAAAATATAGATACATGGTTGTCTTCCAACTTTCTTAATCTCGAAAGAAACAATCTTGCAAATAATGGATTCAGGCCAAAGCCGAGTGAGTTCAGGACAACTTGGACTTGCTTCAGGGTTTGTGAGCCAATTTAAAAACCAAAAAGATTCCCAGGCCCCATGTGTTCCCAAGGATAGAAAGAAAATTAGAAGTGCATACTAGGTCCTTGTGTGCACATTGTTTTGCACTGTACAATGTTGTTAAGGCTGCGTAACGTGAAACCTGTTGTAAATGACGAGCCAACAGATCTTGCAAAATCAGTGGTGATGTCTCCACATTTTTGGGATCAGTCAGATGCTGAGTACTGTTATCTATCCAATTCTGAATATGAGTCCTGACACCGAGAGACAGGATGGGGTTGGAGTCTCGAGGGTTGGGAATGGAGTGGTTAGATGTGAAATGTACGGGTGAAGGAGATTAAGGCTGCGGTTTTGTGCAGATTGCTGAGCAGGATAGCAAGCGAGCCCTGGACCTTTGAAACTCACTCCTTTCCCAGGTCCATGGACACCAAAGTTTGTTAGCCTTCAATACACACTACAAGCTCCATCTTTTATTCCTTGCTTGGTAAGAGATGGCTGGAAATGGGTAAGAATGGGGTGGGATTTTGATGGGGCGTGTAGGCGGGAGGTTGGTTAATTGTTGTTTTAGCTATGTTAGTGTTGGTTATTTAATTCGATCTGGGTGACAGATGGTTCTGTTGATAGGTGTACTTTTAAAAGATTGTCAAAGATGCCCAAGGTATGTCAAGAGCTTAGGATGGGTGCTCTTACGTTGTTGAGAGAAAAATAATTGAATAAATGAATGGAGGTGATAGGAAATAAGCCACAGGAGGAGGAGGAAGAGTCTCATGGATGGGGTGGTAGAAAGCAGGCTGCAGTGTGCCACTTATGTAGCTCTAGTGCTAGGGAGGGTGGCTGGGAGCCAACTAAAGTGGGAGGAATTGGGTATAGGTCTAGCACCAAGATTGGGCTTGGTGGTTGGAGGTAGGCTACCTGAAGCGTCAGCAAGAGAATTTTCAGTGGCTGCCTTAAAGGTGGCTTTAAATCCCTTTTTAATGCTGTATCAGCACAAAGATGACTTATCAGTGGCCCAGGATCTGCTCCAATATCTTATGTTAACAGCACATTCAGAAGATTCCTTCTAATGCTGTTTAGTTAGCAAAGATATTTGAAAACTCTGAGATGTCTGTTCAAGGTTCGTTGCTACTTTGTATTTGCACTATGCATGCAAACAGACGAGAAAGAGTCAGCCGTTAACTAAAGTTTGAGACAACATTTTTTTAAAACTCTTAAATAATCTCTACATTGTTACCTCCCTCTTTATGCCCCAGCACATCACTTGCAAAACTTTGGATGTAGTTCAATCATTGGCTACCCCACTTGACAGGTTTTCAATTGTTTCTCTTTGGGAACCCAAATGTGACAATGTTTGGAACTGGATGAGAGCAAAGTGCTCGTACTGCTGCTCCCTTCGTAGCTCATAAGCATAGACCCAGTCCCTCCCCAGTGCATAAAAGCATCCAAGTTTCTGGCAGTTACACAACCCTGATGCAGATTTAAATGAAATGCCAAGCTCTCTGAATGCCAGGCTTTTATATCAAATCTGTGCTTGTAATTCCCCAAGCAGCAGTTTTTTCCATAAACACAGTAAACCTCCAGCCGAGAAAGCTGAACATGGAGTTAGGTATCTAAATGGCAAGAGAATTCCTTTATGCTATTCCTAGGAATTACTCTATCATTCTTGCATGCCGCTGAAGACTCTTGATTGACACTGAACCTTATTTCAGTGCAAACTATTTACTATAAAACTCCATCGATTATTTGTAGCCGTGCTTGTTCAGTGGCAAATGAGTGGAATTGGGAATTTTGTTATTCATAACCAACTTTTTATTTAGCAGATTTATCCCTCTTTCATTTTTGTAAACAAACTGCAAAGTATTTCCCCACTTTTCTGGGTTCATAGGATCATTTCACAGCCTATGGATTGTCTGTGAATTTAGCACTATAGAAATGAACACCTGAAGTTCAGTTCCTAAAACTGCATTGAGCCCTCTCAATAAGTGGCCTAATTTTCAAACATACTTAGCACCCAGCAGCTCCCACTGAGGTCAAGCTACTTATTTAAGCACCTCAATGTGGATTTAGCCCCCTAACCTTACACAGCCATTTGATAAACCTCAGCCTGTGATTTATTCATTCTTGGTTAAGAATAAATTCACCTAAATTATATGGTATTGTTTTCTCACTCTTGGCTGGATCACTGACATTTTGTAAATGTGGGAATAAAAAAAAAATTCAGCTTGCAAATAACTTTGCGGCATGGCTCACTTGCTCCTGTCTCTGTTCAAGCCCACATACGGCTCAGAAACCTTTTGCTGGTAAAACACCTCCTGCAATTTATTTGCAATGTTTGTTTCAACCACGCTTACACACTATACAGCCTTACACCTACAGTCCCCTCAGCTTCTGAGAGAGCGCATATATGCATGGGTGCATACACACTCACTCTTTCTGCTTCCCCTCTCTCATTTCCTTCCTGTGCCTTTTGTATCATCTGCTAAATGGGTTCATTAGCCTCTTAGTTCTCCTCAGGCCATCAGTTAGGCACAGCTCTTCTTAATGAGGTCTACTCTAGTGTAATTAGAGTTGCAGTGACCAGAACACTGGCTCAGCTGCTGTTGCCCAACACCCTCTTCATAAACATCTAGCCAACAATGAATCTCTGCTCATGCAAATAATAGCACCTCCATAAACAGAAACTAGTTGTCTAAATATTGATGGGAAAACAAACAAAAAGGGCTTGAATATGGCCAATCTGAATTGCAAGCCGGATTTTTGGAAACATATCTATAAACAATACATCTCCTTCTTATTTGAGTAGCTCTAAAAACTAGTTTAACCCCTTCCCCCCAAAACCAGATGATCTTGGAGGGATTTGGTATTTTTATTTTATTTTTCAAAGCTGTGTTATTGAATACAAAGTTTTAACATTATGCTTTATTGCCCTTTTATAACTCTAATTTCTGTTGCTGGTTTTTATTTCTTGCATTAGCAAACTTACCTGAACAGAATGTATCACAGAACAATATTGGTATGCTACTGGCATTCTTTGCATAAAATAAGACTATATGTAGTATTGTAGCTATACAAAACTATATGTAGTATTGCTAAAAAAGCCCTATACACAGGTATATTATAGGAAGTGGTGCAACTCCAACAGTCTGTTCTTATGGCAGGCGATTGGCAGACATCACAGATTTGATTGATTAAATATATTCTCTCTACACACATGCAGATCATACATCATTTGAAACCTTATTATGTCTTCTTTAAGATGAGTATGACGTAGAGCAGTCAAATGGTGCTCTTACCCATAGAAACAAGAAAAAGCAATGACACCATCAACATGTTAAAATGACCACTTTGAAATATTTGTATTTCTCTGTTAGTTTAATATATCTATGTATTATCTCAAGGGATAAAATTAGATTTCTTTGTGACCTCAAAGCATCACAACAACAATCTACAGGGTAAAACAAAATCTAATAATAAATAGGTACAGGTCTCATTGAAATGTAATAGCATTGGTGACATTTCTAGTTAACATCATTATCATTATCTTGTTCATCATGTGATCTCTGCTGAGAATGCATGAGTTACCACAGTCTTCATTGCCATAGTATAGACACAGTTCTATGCAGACAACAGACACAGTTAATTGTTCAGCAACCTCTCCTGGTACAGGCACAGCGAAGGAGTTGTAGAAACTCAGATGCCCTTGAAGCCTATAGGAAGTAGTTCATCATCCACATTGGTGCATCCATGTTGCAATGGTAAACCAATATGTGGTTTACCTATGTGCAAAGACATCCAAATATTTGTTTGCCATGATGCTCTTTTGACATGGTCTTCAAAACCTGACCTCACATGGTGGGAGTTTGACCAGTGACTTGTACTTTTTGATGGCTAGACTCAGGTACAAGCAATTCAGATCTCTGTGGGTCTCCTTTCTTTCTCACTGTGGTCATACAGCATTGCTACCAACTTCCTTGCTGCAGAAATTGTGGCTTGTCTACCACTCTCTCCCAGTGTGGCAAGATCTCATAAGCAGTAAGCTCCCTTTGTTTTGACACAGAATTTTTTTTCCCAATACCAAATAAGGATGACACAGCGTCACATCCTCTTAATGCACATACAGCAAGAAGTACATTGCAAAGGTCTAGAGTGAGTGTGTCACAAATTGCATGCACAGGTATGAAGCGATGCTTGTCAGTTGGGCTGCTCATGGTGCCTGTTTCAATCCATATGTTATCTGCATGTTACACTTTTGGAAAGTAGTGAACAGCAAGGACCAAAACATCTGTATCAGGTGACCTAATTACTAGAGCTCCTTTAATACCAAGGGACCCAAAAGCCATATTGGCACATACAGCATGCAGAAGCATACTTGTGTCTGCTTCCTCTTGAGTACTGCACAAGTCTTGGGCTTCTTCAACATCTCTACCAGTGATGGGAAAGCCTCCAGCATGAAGTATCTGTGTTGAGTGTGCTCCTACACTCTCAGGTGCATTTTGAACCATATATTCATACAGGAATTTTCCAAGTGACTGCTTGTTGGATGCCATGTTTAGAAACTTTTTCCATGCAGGAATAAGGCATCCACCAATCACCTAGTATTTCTTGCATCCAACTTTCAATCCTGCCTGGTGCTGTCTTTCTGCAGTTTTCACAGAGTTACTGTTGTCATATCTGTCAAAGACTTCAATTACAGAATTAGCTTCGTCAAAACCTTTTAGAACCTGCCTCACATACTCAGCAGCCAATTCAACAACTGTGGAATTTGTCTCCAGCCATGATTTGTATGACAGCGATGGTATCTGTGATGTACACTGTGTTTTCCTTGTAGCATGCTCCTAGCTCAGAGATTCTTTCAGCTTGAGCTTCCAGCTGATACCCTTGTGACTCTAGCAGACCAGGTGCCAGCTTTTGCCAAGGCTTTAGACCTCAGTTGACTAATTCATTACTGGAAACCAGTCTGTTTCACCTGTGCGTTAGTATGGCTAAGATGGGTATTGAACTTATAACAAGGTCTTCAGTGTTTAGACTATGTGAAATGTTTGTAAATTGCTGCATGCTTTAATCCCACTTAAATATTACCTTATAGCATATGATAAAGATATTATATGTTTTTGCTTTGTAACTGTAAAAATGTTTGCTCTGAAACTATGAACCCAATCAGGAGGGATCATCTCCTGCCCATCAAGAAGGCTTAATCAAAACTAAAGGGTCATTGTGGGACATCACAATACAAAGACTTTGTAAATTGCCCCCTTCCACGCCGGAAAAGTCTATGTGCAAAAGGGCTTATCCCATCAGCTTGAATTCTGGAAGAAGGAAATAAAAATAGCTGACAAGAAATGTTTTCATCTTTTACTGTTAGGACTCTCACAGGGCTGGAGCTACGAAACAGAGCCAGAGATCCCCAGGGTCAACCTGGGTTAGCCCTAAACACATTCAGAGCTGACAGATTACTATAACTCTGTCACCTTTTGAAACCATAGCCTGTAACTCATTGGTCTATATAAGTTTGTCTGCTTTAACCTTGTAATAATTCTCTCATTTCTTTTCTTAGTTAATAAATCCTTAGATAGATTACTATAGAATTGGCTATAAGCGTTGTCTTTGGTGTGTGCTGCAAGGTACAAGCTGATCTGGGGTAAGTGACTGGTCTCTTGGGACTGAGAGCAACCTGAATATTTTGTGATCTTTGGTTTATAGCAACCATCTATCACTTAGTCCAGTTTGTCTGGGTGGCAAGATAGACTGGAATGCCCAAGGGGACTCTGTGACTCCATGGTAAGCTTTAGGAGTTCACACTGGTTCCTGAGTTGATGAAATCTAATTATAGAAAAAAACAACCAGTTTGGGGTCTCTGCCCTGCTTCCTGACAGTCTGCCCTGAGGTTGGCACTCACGGTCATGCACTCCAGACAGCGTGACAGCCCTAACTCAGCTTTGTCTGTTCTTCTCATTGTTCCATCAGCATGGAAGAGGGATATAGGCAGAGGTCCCATTGGGAGAGAGTGATAGACATGCATCTGGCTAAGGACAGGACTCTGCAGAAAATGTCTGGACTGATAGCTGCTGTGATTGTCCTACCAGTGCCAGACTTAAATTTGATTTTCTTGGCCATGTCATCAAATGTTTTGATGCCAGATTTCTTGACTGGACTGAAGAAGCTATGTGTCCCATCAGAATCAAGTGCACCTGTCATAAATCTTTCAATTTGTTCTTCACCAACATCTGCTATTTTCAGTAGCAACTCTTGTACATCGGCTGTTATATGCAGTCCAGTAGATATGTTGAGAAGCACCTCTGGATGTGATTCAGGGTCAAATGGGTTTGTCATATTGTTGCTATTATGCTTGAGAAGAGCTGTAAAACGCTCTTCAGTGCAGAGGCAAAGACTTGTTTGTGAACTTCATCTGCACCACTTGTTGTTAGGCTACTTCTTTCTCTCACAGCTTTTGCAAATTCATAATATTGTATTGTGTGTAATGTGTATTGTTAACTCTAATACTAATACTCACCTGCCTGAAGTGTCACTGAATTTAAAAACTGGTTTCTAGAATATTTCAAAGGCTAGTACTGCCTGCGTAGGCAATTACAAATTAAAACTTTCTACCATGCAGACTAGTTGCTACATTGTATAGACAAAAGCTTTTCAATAGAGAAGCGTTACGTTAGGGATTCATGTACATTTATATCTACCCCCATGCAGTACAAAGTGTGAGCACCCAAACTGGTGTACAACCTTCAGTGTGAGACTGATCTGGTCAGCAAATTTCAGCTGAAACTATAGAAAACTATTATAATGACTTTGACAATTAAGAACAGGCGATGTGAAAACATTTCATGTTAGTATATTGCAAAATGTTTGTATTCACTATTTTTCCCACATGCTAAACAGCTTCATAATTTCTGGGGGGGGGGGGGGAATATTTGAACATGCAAGAAAAATAAAAGCTTTTATGTCATGTGGTAGCTTTGACCAATAATAACCACATTAAGGTGTTGAAATTAACTTTAACAGTAAAAACTGTAGTCACGGTCATCTTGCAGAGTAGCAAAAAATGACTCACTCATTTTGGGTATCATTGTTTCACCTCATTTGCAGGCTTGTGCAACCACTTGACATCACATCATATCACATTTAAATGTACATAAAATAAGCTTTCAAATGATATGTGAGGTGGGTGTGTGTAGTGTGGGTTGATTAAACTCCTAAAATATGGCCCTTTTTGGAGAATTGCCTATAGCCACTTAGAAATAATGGGATCACTGCAGTTTCAACTTAAAAGCTTTTTATTTTCTATGGTCCTCAGTTTTCTATATTTTTCTTCCACAACAGGGAGCTGCAGTCCTTACATTGCTTTAGGTAAAGAGAGGGAAAATGGTCTAATGAATGGGTTGGGGTCTTGAACAGCTCTCAGGGGCTCAGCTCATAAACATATTCCTTTTCTTTATGGCTGGATGGTGAAGGGGTCCCATAATTTATGGCAGAAAGGGCTTGAAACAGTTTTCTCTTGGAGGCAGGTGTTATGGTATAGAAAAAGAACAGAGCTGGTTTAAAAAAAAGAATTAAACTTCTTTTTGATTAAAAAAAATGGCTTTTCAACAGTAAGGAAATTATCATGAAATCAAATTTTAGCTGTCCAATTTAAGGTGCCTTAGATACTGTAAGTTGGGGACCCACAACTCAAGGTACCTCAAATCAATGGCCAGTTTGCTGGAGGTAAAATGCTTCTATGCTTCTGTATCTGAAAATGGGGATAACCGTGCAGAACACTACATTATTGGGAGATGATACATTAATGTGGAGGGTGGGATGGGAAAAAAGGGAGGCAAAGGGCCTGATTTAGCATGCCGCTGTACTAATTTTAACCTGGAGTAACTCCATTGAAATCAGGCCCACTGCAGTAAATTAGGCCCAAGGCTTCTACAAACATGTCAAACCCGTATCCAACAGCGTAACAATTACCAGACAAGTTGTGTTTCACGTCTTTTCCCCTTCTTGTTATGTGATGCAGATCACCAACTATTTGAACTGGGTTGTAAGAAATTTAGCTGACTTGGAGGTGCAGATGGGCGCAGTGAAAAAAGTGAACAGTTTCCTGACCATGGAGTCTGAGAACTACGAAGGCACTATGGGTATTGTACTCTAATCCTTTTTATTTTTTGTAGGTACCATAAAAGCAAGCACGTTTCATTTCTTCCATTCATGATCATGCAAAAAACACAGAGACCTTGAGCCAAATTCTGTTCCATTTACATACAGAGACAGATTAGGGGTTTGTGCAGCCCTGGGCCAGAGTAAGTGGGCCCCCCCCCACCTCGGCGCTCCTGCCAGGGAAATGGGGTTGTGGCACAGGGCCTTCCCTCACCTGCCCGGTGCTCTTGTCGGGGAGCTGGATCAGGGCGTGGAAGCTTCCCCTGCTCCCCAGCAGGAGTGCAAGGTGGGTGGAGCAGAGCAAGCTGCCATGCCCTTATCCCGCTCCCCGGCAGGAGCGCTGGGCGGTTGGAGTGGATCGGGGTGTGAGGGCGCCTCAGTTGGCTGGGGCCCCTGGGCACCGGCCCCGTTGGCCCAGTGGCTAATCCGCCACTGTTTAGCTGTGTGTACTCTCAATGACATCGAGAGTACCGCACAAGCGAACCCGCTCATCCTGTGTGTCAAGATCGGGAAGTTCGGTGCTAATGGTCCTGTGCTGCAGTTCTCAGCTGCATTCCAGCACTGGCGGAGGGTGCAGTCTGAGCAGGTGCCATCCTGCCTAGCTCCTTTGGAACAGAATAAAGAGAGGATTCCTAATGTGATTACAAACGGATGCATGGCAAAGGGGAAAGCGCAATGAGGGTGACTCAACGATAGCATTTGCCTTTGTCTACTGTCAATATTTAAGACCCTTCTCAAGTACCGAAAGACTGGCCACAAGAGGGGGAAATCAAGATTGAAGATTTGTGTGTCCGATATGAAAATAACCTGAAGCCTGTTCTGAAGCATGTCAAGGCTTACATCAAACCAGGACAGAAGGTAATGTGCCGTCCTCACTTCAGGCTGATACCTTTATAGCAACTTCTGTCATTTGTGGAAACGAGGACTCCTCACTAAAGATGGCCCATTAGTAAGAACAGCATCTAAAATACTTGAACGTATAGATGTGCAAACAGAGCCAACGATTTTTGCTGCACCCAAAAGATGGCCTTGTGGCTAAAGCAAAGGGCTAAGTTGGGAACCTATGTGTTTCCACCTTCCTCACAGATTTCTTGTGTGGCGCTGGGCATAGCTCAGTGGTTTGAGCATTGGCCTGCTAAACCTAGGGTTGTGAGTTCTATCCTTGAGGGGGCCATTTAGGGATTGGGCAGGAACTGTCAGGGAGAATACTTGGTCCTGCTAGTGAAGGCAGGGGACTGGACTGGACTGAACTGAATGACCTTTCAAGGTCCTTTCCAGTTCTATGAGATAGGTATATCTCCATAAGTCATTTAGCATCTCTGTACTACATTCTATCCCATCTGTAAAATGAGGATGAGTTAGACTTACCTACCTTGCAAATGTTAATATTCATGATCATTTGAAAAGCACTTGGAAATCCTGAAGTGGAAGGTATTATAATGCCATATAATATATTGAAAACTATTAATTATATGATTATAATAATCATTATTATAAGTGCCAGAAGCATCATCATCATCAGCAATTATTGTGATATTAGATATTTCACTTTTATATTGGCTATAAAATATTTGATATTGCCTTTTTCAATTGCCTTTGGTGGGGAGAAGAGGAGTCCCGCGGGCTCTGATGCAGCAAGAAACTGAGGCATGTTTCTAAATTTAAGCACATGAGTAGACAATGGGACTACTCGCATACATAATGTGAGTCGCATGTTTAAGGGCCTTGCTAAATTAAGGCCTTGGTGGGCAGGCTAACCTGTATGTGTGGGAACAAGAGTCACCATGACCAAGCATCTGATCCAATTTATACCCTGAGCGCTCAATACTTTGCTCATATCTAGCACCTTGAACCCATGGACCTTAAAGCATACATTCACTCCTGATGTCCCCTTAAGAAATGCACTGGTGAATAGAGGATGAGACCCTGGTTACATACATGTCCCCATCACCACTGGATCTGTTAGCAATGTAGACAATCATAACTATCCCATCATTGTGCTCCCTAGCATCAGTAGCAGCCCTCATACAAATGCTCCCTGCTGGAGTGCACACTACAGAACCCTCTCCCAACTCCTGTGCAGCCGTATGTTTGTCCCTTTGTTTTTAAGTTGGTTTGGGGTTTTTATCAATATGGGTTAAATTTTAAATTTCCTTACTGGGTCTGTGAGTTTGGTTTACAATTTCCTTCATCCCAAGATTGACTTCAGAGCAATGACAATTTCCTTTGCTTTGCAGGTTGGGATCTGTGGTCGCACTGGCAGTGGAAAATCATCATTGTCTTTGGCTTTCTTCAGAATGGTAGACATTTTTGATGGTTAGTTGCTAAGGCTCCTCATTAGTATCTATTATAGCTGTAAAACTGGTACCCCGTTCCCTACTCCAGTTCTTCAGAAGCAAGCAAGCAGATTTAAGGTTTATGTCTAGGCTTTCTGTCCTCTCAAAAATACTTGGTTTGGATTAGGTGTATTACACCCAATCCTTCAAAGTCCAGAGCACTCCTGGCAGCAGCATTCAGTTCTGCAGGAAGTGCTCAGCTCATCCTAGGATCTGGTACTAAGTCCCTATTTTATGGTCTGAAAGAATAATGTACTGTGTCTAGATGGGCAGAGAAAATACGTTATTCTCTGGTGCCTATAGATTTCCCCCCACAAATTAGACATCTGCCATAACTGAACATGGTTCAGTGTGAGTAAAATAGAAACAGGTGTTCAATAAATGCAGCTCCTTGATATTTTTCTTTTATTGTGACTCCCCACTGTTACAATAGAAGCTGTCTAAGGATTCCGATGTTTTGGAGGCCTCTGCAGTACTCTTATTCCGAAGGCATTCCATCATTTCCACCCTGAACTGATTATATATCTGGAATGTCTGCCCATGAAATCCAATCAGAGATGGGAGGATAAATACATCAGATGCTCTTAGTTTAATTCACAGGTTTATGCCCATCTTTTCCTCTTCATCTCTCATATATCTCCTTTCTGTCTGTCTTTCTCTTTTATTTCTCAACTCTTCCAGTATCTCTGATTTTTCTTTCTTTGGGAAGCATTGACTTTCTTCTCATATTTTCTCGACACTTTCATAGTCTCCATTTAACTCTCCAGTGTCCATCTCTCTTCCTCTCTCCCTTGTTAGACTGTCTCTGGTCCCTTTGCTCCCATCTCTTCTGCTCTCTGTCTGAAATCCTGGCTTCATTAAACTCATTGGCAAAGCTCCCATTGACTTCAGTGGAGCCTGGATTTCATCCTCTGTGTCCATCTTGCTTCCTCATTCTGTTCATTCTTTGCACTCACCTGTATTCCATGGTGACTCCTCCCCACCAAAGATCACCAGCTTTCTGTTCCTCTTTGGGAGCTCACTTCTTTTACTCTTTTTTCACCCACTCTCTCTCTTTTCTCCGGCATCTTGCCCTAATGTCCCCTTCTTCCTGTCCCTAGTTCCCATATTTCCTCTCTGCTCTTCCCTGCCTGTCCGACTCAGGCCTTGTCTACACTACCGGGGTAAATCAACTTAAGTTACACTACTCCAGCTATGTTATTCACGTAGCTTAGGTCAACTTACTGTGGTGTCTACACCACATTGGGTTGATCGATTTGAGTCTCCCATCGACTTACCTTACCCTTCACATTCCGGTGGAGTACCGGAGAGCGCTCTGCCGTCGATTTAGCGGGTCTTCACTAGACACACTAAATCGACCCCTGCTGCATCGATCACAGCAGCGTGGATCCATGGTAGTGTAAACATGGCCTCAGGCATCCCCATTTCCTCTGTTTTCTTCCCAGACCTCCCCAGATCATCCTGTTTTCCCCGCCAGATTATGTTCCCCCATTCACCAGTCAAACCAAATCCTCTTTCCCCGCCCCCCCCAAGATCCTGTCTCCTCCTTCCCAGACTCCCCACTTTGCATGTGGGGAGGCAGAGGTGGTTAAGTTTATGCTGCCACAGCTGAAGGCCAGTGATCTAATTTTGCCCCAGTGAAAATGTAAGATAATCATATTTTAAACAGTATGGAAGAAATCCTGGCCCCATTGAACTTCAAGCATGTGGGTGATCCCGCTGCAGTCAAGTTAAGCATGTGCTTATGTGCTTCTCTGGGTCAGGGCTAGAGCACGCAGTACCTTGCAGGATACAGCCTTGTATGGCTTACAAATTACAAGATGAGGAAAACTGGCAATAACAGATGGGCTGCTTGGAATTTCCATTCATTTATCATGGCCTGGGTGAGAGCTGGTTTTTCTAACTATTAGCAATAGGGCTAACAAGTTCAGTTTAGGCACATCCCCATGTTGGGAGCAGCTTCACAGGAGCTCTAGGAGAAATTGTGCAGCACAGAGGCAGTATCCCTGCTGGGGCTTCCCAGTGCAAATGCAGACTGATCCTGATGGCTACATCCCTCATCTTAGTCCCTTCTACACACCTGCCCCCCACAGTTCCTGTGCTATGGGAAGCTCAGGGGATGCACTTGTACCTGGCTGCTGTGCATGGACTTAAGGGGAGAGACTTCTTATGCTCTTCTCATCCTTTCCTATTTGCAGAGCAGCTGGTCACAATCTGGCCTGTAATTTTTTTTTTCTCTAAATGCCAAATGTTGCCACACCTCACACACCACATGGCAATTTTCCAGGTGAAACCCATACATGCACTGATGTGGTGATGAAATCCCCTTTATGTTAGTGAGTATTCCAGCTGTTACATGCAGCTTCCTTTATTGGAATGACTTGCCGGGGCTGCAGGGTGATTAATGCAATTGTTCCCATTACACTTATGGTAGCTGAACAATATGCATTGTAATTCATCTCTTACCCTATCCTTAGACGACACTGATCTATGGAAACTGACACTAATGGGATTAAAATGCCTGAAAGCTGGACATATTCTTAATTTACTCAGCCACCTCTTGTGAAAAAGTCACTCAGTTTAGATAAATCTTTCTAAAGTTCTAGGTGTGCTTTGATATTTCATATTATGGCTACTTGAGTGCACTGCACAAAATAAACTGGCATAAATTTGAAACAAAGGACCCAATCCTACTCTGACTGAAGTCAGTGGGCCCAGAAGAGGCCAAAATATGACTACATTACCTCCTCTTGTTCTCTCTTCCTCTATTTGGCTGTAGATCTGAGGGTGCTCACACTAAATTATCCTTTTAATGGCATCATTAATCATGCAGCATGGAAGCAAAATATGTCCTTTAAGGGAAGAAGGAAAAAAAAGAAAAGAAGAAAAAAAGAAAGAGAAAGAGAACAGGACATCAATATGCCTGTTTTCCTCTGGGTTGTGTTATTATATATGAGCACCTTCCACATGTTTATAGAGCCATAAACAGCTGAAGGAATGCAGTCAGTCTCAGGCAGTTCTGTTTAATCTTTCCGTATGCTTCTTAAAAACAGTATGATGCTTGTGATGTCCTCACTTTGTGTGTCATTTCAAACAGGGAAGATTGTGATTGATGGAATAGACATTTGTAAACTGCCCCTGGATACCCTCCGTTCCAGACTCTCAATTATTCTCCAAGACCCCATACTGTTCAGTGGTTCCATTCGGTAGGTATCCATTCTCACTGTACGACCGCTAGGGTTGCATGGGGGTGTACATGGGAGATGGTACCACAGAATTAGCTATGGGATGGGGTGATATGCAAGGGTGATTGCAGGTTCCACAATCTTCTCAGAGAGCTCTAGTGACATAATACCACAATGTGGCCTGGGAATAGGCCAGGATGCTGGAATATAACAATACTTTGTCACTCTTTCCCCTGCAGTTTTAATTTGGATCCAGAGTGCAAGTGCACTGATGATAGGCTTTGGGAAGCTCTGGAGATTGCTCAGCTGAAGAACATGGTCAAATCATTGCCAGGAGGTCTTGGTATGTTTGAACAAGGCCAAGTACCCATGAGTCTATGCCAACCCATAAAAAAGAGCCACATCTATGTATAGCTAAAAAGAAACAGTTTGACTTTTTGATGTCTCTCTGTAGGACAAGGGGAGCGAACTGTACAATGGATTCTATACTTTAAGCCTCCCTGTAATGGATGTCAGGCACTTGGGCCCAGATCCTAAGACGTATTTAGATGCTTAACATTAGATACCTAAATATCTTTCAGGATCTGGGCCCTGATGAATATTCCAACAGTATACCAGAGAGAATGTACATGCTGTGCTGCTGAATGATGTTTTAGCTTTCTACTTATTTCAGTGAAATATTGATGTGGCACATCAACAGGTGGGATGGGGGGACCAGTTGTCAAAGGGCTAAAAGCTTTTAGTCTTGCAGCAGCAACTCTCTGATTGCCAAATGAAGCTCCAACAGCTGTATCTCCTAATTATGTCACTGGTCGAGCATTTCCCTTTGCATTCCAGGTCTGGTTCATGAAGGAAAACCAATTATACACATTCCATATTATTAAAATATAACACTAGGCCTTCCCAAATATGTTAAATCCTTACTCCATGATCATGTGAGATGGTCTATTGTCCTCATGGTGATGGTCCCAACAGCTGGGTTCGGTTTCCTCAATACCACTTCATTCCAACACTCATCATTGTATTTTTCAGGGATATTACTGATGTTTGAACAGCTCTTACACGGAGATTTTATGGTGTAAATTGAAAGTCATTTGTGATATTGATTTGCTCTTTCGTTTGTATGGGCAACTGAATAAAACTCTGAGACAACAGCATTTAGATGGCATAATCCTTAAAGCTAACTATGTTACAGATGCGGTGGTAACAGAAGGGGGAGAGAATTTCAGTGTGGGGCAGAGACAGCTTTTCTGTCTGGCCAGAGCCTTTGTTCGCAAGAGCAGCATTCTCATCATGGATGAAGCCACGGCTTCTATTGACATGGCCACAGTGAGTATATCAGTTACATTGCTGCTACTTGCTTTGCCTTTTAAGAGGCAAAAAGAAATTGGAAGTCGAGAGCAAGAAGTTGGTACTGTGTTCCCTAGCTGTCATTCATGATAACTTGTCTTTTTATCTTTCAGTTATTTTGTTTTTAATTTTTATTTCTGTGGTGAGGGGAGAGGGTTAAAGAAGAATCCTGCTACTAAGCTGTGTTGCATCGCATCAGTGAGCATCTACCACAAAGACAGAATGCAATATACTGTACGGTCCTGAGTCTTTGACGGTGAAGGGCACATAGTGTGTAAGAGAACTGAATAACTGTTGAACCTTTTTCTTGACAGGAAAATATTTTGCAGAAGGTTGTGATGACTGCCTTTGTGGACCGCACAGTTGTAACGATAGCAGTAAGTATCGACTCCAGCAGATGCCCCTCCCCGTTTCCTCATTCTTGCAGCCGCTATACTTGCTTTTCACCAATCAATTATTGCTATGAAAATAAAACTAAGACACAGGCTCAAACCTGCATCTGGTTCCACAGTTTTGCAAAGAGTTTCTATCTGTAAAGTGGGCGAAGTGAAAACTCTCAGATCTGAACAACCAGAACTTTGCAGTGGAGTTTGGCATCGGAATCTGGATCCCATTAAAAATTTTCCCATTGAGCTTAATCTCTCTGCTCAGCTCAAATTAAAACACTGGATCCTACCACCACCGAAGTTTGGGGCTAGTTCAAAATCTGGATTTGAAATTTGCTGCTTAGACCCATCGCTAGTTTCTACAACTGTAACATGAATTGTGACTTCAAAGGTTTTTCAGTGCAGTGTCTCAAATTGGATTGTTCTCTCCCCATACGCCTTTGTTTTATTATCGTGGTTTTAAAAATTGAAGAGGTGGAAAATATTCAAATTTCAACAAAAAACAAGAAAATGTTTTCAGCTAATTGTTTGTAACTCCCCCCCTTGTTTTTCAATCAGCTGTAGGTGCCAATGTATAGGCCAGGGCTTCTGTACATATGTAAGACCACTGCCATTGCAGGAGCCTCAGGCACTGTTGTACCTTGATTCCTCCTGTTCTCCGCCTGTAACTCTTCTGGGCTGTAATACTTTGGTCTAATTCTGTTTGTTGGGCTTTGTGTGGAGGTGGCAGGGCAGTGTTTAGTGGCCTGTGATGTAGAGAGAGCCAGACTATGGGCATGTCTACACACACACACTTTCTGTGTAGCAAGCCAGTGTGCCATTGTAACAGGGGGCTTGGAAGGCCAGGCAGCCTACTGGTTGGAGTACTGGACTTCCAGCACTCTCCTTCTGTGATCAAGGTGCCTCAGTCTTTAAGGTAGGATGGGGTAGGGAGACCCGGGTCCTTCTGCTTCTCTGGGTCCTAACCAAGGGCCCTGTGTATGTCAACCCCTAAGTAGGGGATCTCCCAGTGGGGAGTCAGCATCCGCTGCCCTGGGTTACTTCCTACTGTTGCCCCTTCGGTGTGGTGCATGGCCCCATAGTCCAAGTTGTAGTTGTGGCTTATCTCTAGTAGTGCCCCTTCGTGGACCCTGGGTGGAGTCCTGCTGCAGTCCCAGGTTCCTCCGGGCAGAGCAGCCATAAGTTTGGTGGCGTCAGAACCCGTACAAGGTCTCTGCACTTTGGTCACCCGGTTCCTCTCAGGCGGGTTCTCCTAAGCCTCTTTTTCCCTCTCCTTTGGCCAGGAAGACGGTGCTTGGTTCCTGGTGGCTGCCTTGGCTGGCAAGCTAGTGATCCTTCCCGTAAGATAGGGAGGCAGCTAGCTCCTGCCTCTTTGCCAGTCAGCCCCAAACTGAATCAGGCTCCCTCCTTTTCTCCCCCCTCCAGGTCTGGCATTGGCTGCAGGTATAATTGGGCGGGGCTAGCAGGGCTCAAAGGCTCTCCTTAACCCTTTCCGTGCTAGTGGGTGGTTTCTCTGCTTCGTCACAGCCATGCACTAACTGTCCATGTGGACCCTGTTGATGAGCACTAAAAGTTCTCTAGTATGCTTTGACATACTGCTATAAACCCCTGTACGTTAGTGCTCACTAGGGAACGTATAGTGTGCAGCAGCAGAGCCCACATGGACAGTTAGTGTGTGGTGCTGGAATGCTGTAGATTTACACCTCAATTTATCATACGTTAAGTGGTTGTGTAGACATGCCCTTCTTGATCCAGTGCTTCCTTTTAGCCATAAACTCTATGACTCTAAAATATATATATTAAAGAGACCTTAAAGTAATTCCACCCTGTGATGTGCTTAGTTGGCAGTCAGATGTTTTGTGTGTGAAATAAATTTTTGCTTCAACAGCTGTTTCACTTGCTTTGTCTGGGGTATGATCGATTGGTTAGCTCGTAAGATTGGAGTCAGCTCTACTGGGTTCTGTTTCCAGTTGTAGCAGTGACTCATTGTGATATCGTAGGAAAATCACTTAATCTAGCTCATGTATAACATGCTTTAAGAACCTCAGATCCATAAAAGCATAACACACCAGTAACAAAAAAATTCCCATTCATAAAACTGTCATTTCAATTCATGTCTGATTTGTACTGTTTCTCTCACTAAAATACTGCTTGTCTATGGCCTTCTGTTTTCCACATCGCTGTTTGGAGAAAAATAGCATTTCCTTATTTGGCTTTCCTGTTCTTCACAAAGCATTTTCCTTCAGTTGGCTTCACGTTCTTTCTTCCTTTGTAGCTGATCCTTCCTCCTATTTTTTCTCCCCATCTACCTGTTCTTCTTTTCAGCACCGAGTGTCTCAGATCTTGGATGGAGACATTGTGTTAGTCCTTTCCGAAGGTGTTCTAGCTGAGTGTGATTCTGCTTCAAACTTGCTCCTCAAAGAGGATGGCCTGTTCACCACTTTGGTGAAGACTAACAAGTAGACTCTCTCAGTCACACTGCTCGCAAGACTTCTGGCTCTCTGGTAGTTACCTTTAGCTCTTTAATTACCTTAGCTCTGCTACCATTCTACTGCTTTGAGATGACAGTACAAAAGGCCATTCATTACATTCTAGTACTTTCAAATGTTGTTTGTGTTTATTAAGTCCAAAATCCTGCTTTAATGAATGCACTAATCTTTAATAGAGTAATTAGTCTAATAACATAGTAATACAAATGATAATTAACTACTTAATAAATAATTGCTTTTGAAAATAATATCTGAAATGAGTTGCATATGCCCATCCAGATCTTGGTGGACATGAGTCCACATCACAAATGACACTTTCGTTGGCAGTCTCAGAAGAGAGACCAAGGACTGAATTAGCCTGGAAACTAAACTACCATCTCATCCCTAAGGATGCCCTTCCAGATTGGGGTTGAGATATACTGGTAGGACAGCATGGGGAAGAACTTGCACTACCATTTTTAGTGTTCTATGGTTAAATGGCAGAGGTCATTCATTCTCCAGCACTGTCACTCATGCACCAGTGCTAAATTCACAAAAACAAAACAAAAAATGCATATAAAGTAAAGAAACAAACTGTTTATTCCCTTAATGCTATTGTTGCCTCTTGGACTTGGTGCAGGACACATGAGTCAGTCCAAGTGTAAGTGAACTGTTCCCTTGGGAATGGCCAGATGACACAGATTAGTGGTATAAGTCAGTGGCTCTCAACCCTCTCCAGACTACTGTACCCCTTTCAGGAGTCTGATTTGTCTTGTGTACCACCAAGTTACACCTCACTTAAAAACTACTTGCTTACAAAATCAGACATAAAAATACAAAAGTGTCCCAGCATACTGTTACTGAAAAATTGCTGACTTTCATTATTACCATATAATTATAATAAATCAACTGGAATGTAAATATTGTACTTACATTTCAATGTATAGTACATAGAGCAATATAAACAAGTCATTGCCTGTATGAAATTTTAATGTGTATTGACTTCACTAGTGCTTTTTATTTAGCCTGTTGTAAAACTAGGCAAATATCTAGATGAGTTGATGTACTCCCTGGAAGATCTCTGTGGACCCCCAGGGGTACACATACCCCTGGTTGAGACCCACTGGTGTAAGATTCAGCCTTGCCTGAAATGACAAGTCCAAATCACACCAGCATCAACCCAGCCCTCAATTCTCTCTCTGGATTCTCTCTCTCACAAGAATTGGATTCCATGCAGTGTGTGTGGTTTTAATAGAAACATAAAACTCAAAGCCTCATCTAATCTGCATGATCACAGAAAAAACAAATGGTACTTTTTATGAGTACAATTTGTCTGTGTTCTTGATCAAGGCATCCCAAAGAGGAAGGTGTATATCAGTGATCCTGTACCTATATATAGCAGGGGTTACTCCTGGAACCACATCCATGAGTTTAGTTCCAAATGGCCAGTTCCACAGGGCCCAATCATGGAGAGTGCTGAGAATTTATTGAATCAATGAGCACTGAGTATATTCTGAACCTCTCAGGAGCTGTTCAACACCATGCACCATGGGGCTCAATCTTGCAGATACTCATGAACATGCTTAACTTTACGCATCTGAGCAGTCCCATTGAGTTCAAAGGGGCATCTCACATACAGAAAGTTAAGCATCTGCATATGTATTTTCAGGCTCAGGGCCGTGGCTTGTAAAGCGCTTTGAGATCCCTTGGGATTAAAGTTGCTGAATAGGACCTTATCCAAAACTCACAGAAGACAATAGAACTCGTACCATTGACTTTACTAGATCAGGTCCTAAATGAAGGCTATTATTATAATGAGAATTTCTGTATGCTTTTGTTTTATCACAGCACCGGGTCCACACTATTCTGACTGCTGACCTGGTCATTGTGATGAAACGAGGGAATATTTTGGAGAATGACACACCAGAGAACCTGCTGTCTCGGGAAGATGGCATCTTTGCTTCTTTCGTCCGGGCTGACATGTGAAGAGTCACTAAATCGCATGCTGTATTTTTAATAGCTGATTTTTAAACAAATGAAATCCAAATATTTTCTATTCAATGTAGTATCACATTAGCCTTTTCGAAGTTCTTTTTCTTCATGTTTCTATCTTTAAATAATAAAACCCATTGCAATCCATGTATGCCTCAAAGCAATAAAAGGGTCACTGTACCAAATGTCATTAAACTTCCCACACACACGTTTGCAACAGTTTGATTTCTTGGGAGTCTGGCATTTTCCTTGGGAGTCATCGATGGCATTTTTCTTTCTTGTAATGAGCAAAAGTATTTGCTGCTTTTAGGAATGGCATATGTTACACTAGAACCAGTGATCACATGGTTTAGTTTATCAAGAGAGCTAAAGGGCCTCCAGGGTATCTTCCCCTAGGAAAAAAATAACTACATGACACTTGGTGTGATCTGATGCATTCCACAGACAAGCTTTGCCTGCCAAAGTATCTTTGTAAGCCAAGGATAAAAATCTTCCCTTGAAAGCATAATGTAGCAGAATCCAAAAACGGAAATTCTCCTCTCCTCCACTTTATTTTACATGCGCAAGTTAGAACAATGCCATCTTTTAAGTGCTGCGGTGGTTACCATCCACAAACCTATCAGAGATGCTTAGCCTCTAGCAAGGCTTCCCTTATGTTATAATGGCTCTCGCTCTCTTTCCTATGCACGTGCGTTTTTTCATTACATGCTGGTGTACTGTCGGGATGAGGCAGGAATCTACTCTTCCTAATGGCAATGGCAAGACAATGTCAAATGGAAGAGCTGAGATGTTATAAAGTAAAAATGAAGCTCAGTATTTTCAAAGCCTCATATTAGGCTCCTAAATCCATGTTTGTTCTATGGATTCTTGAAAGTCAAAAGGCCAAACTCATCCCTGGCTTCAATAGGGTTACACTGGGGATGAATTTCATTCAGTATGTTAAAGACTCTGTATTAAGGTAAATATGGACTTGGACGCCTGGCTGAAGTATTCCAGTTAATATGTAAGGCCTGACCTTGCAATTAGACAATCATTAGGAGCTATGCAGCAATCTTAACCTTCTTGTGGCATTCTCTTATCATGGCCCTGTGATGGGTTGGGTCACAGAAACTCCCTCAAGACTGTCACTAGATGGTCTGGGATACCACTGAGAATAAACCCTCCTGCCAGAAGAGACTTCCCTCCACTCCTGTCTTGCTGAGCTAGACACACCAGTCGGCTCCAGCACAGACCAAGAGGCTGGGCCACGCCCCCGCAGTTCACAGAAACTAAGATTCACTTAGCCCAGGGGCTTCTCGGTTAACTGGGACTTTCCCAGCACCCAGTATTCAGTCTTTCTGGGAGCCTAAACCCCAAATAAATCAGTTTTCCTTTGTATAAAGCTTATAGAGGGTAAACTCATAAATTGTCTGCCCTCTGTTACACTGATAGATATGCACAGCTGTTTGCTCCCCCAGGTATTAATCACTTACTCTGAGTTCATTAATAAACAAAAGTGATTTTATTAAGTATAAAAAGTAGGATTTAAGTGGGCCCAAGTAACAACAGACAGAACAAAGCAAGCCTAAGCCTAATACATTGAGAAATGGCATACAGGTAAATCTCACCCTTAGAGATTTTATATTCTCTCTCTCTTGTGGGTGGAAACCCCTGATGTTCAGGGAGTTTACATGCATGAGGAGCTAAGCAGTCACTTGGAAGTTAAGAAATTAGATTCTTCTTATATCGCAAGAGAGAGATGACAAGCTTCACATAAATTGCCACAGATCTACCAGGTCTCATTGTATTATAGCTCCCCTGCATATTATCTTATATATACTTACCAGGGCCATATGCTGAACTTTGCTTTTTTGTGTTTTCCATTGATGGAGAAGGATGCCTTTGCACTAACATGGTGCTGTTTTATTTTTCTGGATTGCTGTATTAAGAATGGTACAGAAGGTATGAAGTATTTGAAATGAATTGTTCCAATTTTCTTTTCAGGTCTTAAACATATCCCCGTTTAGGGAGAAGTTCCCATAGGCTTCAGAGCAGGCATGTCAAAAAAGAGCTCTACAGAGATGTGTTTTCTCTGTTTTCAGTACTTTTCCTTTCCTGCTGAGGGGTGCCTACTGTCTCCCTTCATCCTCCTTCCCTTCCTTCCTATCTCCTTATACCGCTCCCTGCTTGAGATTCACTAATATATCCCTGCATGCGCTCTGTGGCCCCCCTCCCCTTCCTGACAGCTCCACGCCTTCTCCTCTGTCTCCAGCCTCCCTTCGGGCTGCCATTGCTCCTCACTCCATCTCTCCATATTTATTCAGGTTTAATACTGTCATTTCAATAGGTAAAACAAATTTTTGTTTTGCCTACTGCAGCCATAACTACAGCTGGAACTACCTGTACGCTGCTAGTTGTTGGTTGTTCTTTTGGGGAGTGGGGAGCCTGATAATTACCTGGACTTGACATTTCAAACAATATTGTTTATGAATGGGAAGGTCACTTTTTTTAAAAGAAAACAAATCAAGCCAGTGGAGCTGAGGTTTTCTAATTCCTAGCTGAACTGGCTGATTTTTTGCCTTATACTCATTTCTAAAATACACTGTTTGAAAGGGTTCTCTGCCTAATTACCCACACTCTTGCTTTCCTTATTTTGTTAGGAAGGACCATTATACAAACTTGGATAGGTTTGTTGTGTAACACAGAAGTATCTAGCAAGTTTCTTAGCTGTGCCATTGGCAAATGGTAGTTTCTCCCCTCCAATGAAAGAACTGAAAAGGGAGAACTTTTGAGATGGAAATCTTCATGAGGATCCCCTTCTGGAGACCTCCGAACTCTTCCTCTCCCCACCCCCAAACATGTCTTGGCATGGGTGAGGTTTGTTCTCATGTAAATGGCCTCTCTCAAACAATGCATATCCCTATGGATGCTGTGTCGAGGCCTGACCCCCCAAGCAGGATCCCACTTCTAGCTCCCTGAGAAAATGGCATCTCCCAGGATCACTGGGGGGATGTCATGGAAGGGGAGGGGCTACATAGAAATAGAATGTTCATTCACCTAGTTTCCATAGGCCCAGGCAAGGGACAATGTGCATGCCCCTCCATCCTACACAGTTCCCCCTCAAACCTCACCCCAGCATACTATCCAGACCACACAGAACTGCTGCAGATTCTGAATGAGGGAGGGTGATATGAAGCCAGCAGAGTCACCTCTTCCATGTGGATAGGCAGAAGATCCTTGCTCAGTCACCTCTGTGCATGGATAGAGCTCAGGCTGGCCCAATATTCCATCTGTGTTAAATACTGTACTAGTGCCACAGAAAATCAAGTCTCCAATAAAGCTAGGTAGGAACTGTAAGCAATGTCCCAGCAGTCCCTGTCTGCAGCCCTCTGCCATCTCTCCTCCTCAAACATTATATATTTTATACCTGTGTGACGGGGTGGGGGAAGGGAAGGAGAAATATCTTTTGTTTTCTTCACCCTGTGTGTTTAGTGCACTCCTGTAGTCTTCTTTGATCAGAACAGCAGTGTACTGCATAGTACACACAGCAGTGAACTAGGAACCACTGCATGAACATTTGTAGAATGTGTTAAGAAGTCCTTATAAATCAGCCTCAGCCTAGGATCCAGAAAAGTCAGAGGTTTAGTTCTTTCCAGCAAGGGAGAATATGTTGAGTGATGGGAGAATATGTTATGTCTAAAAACCAAGATATATTTTTTACACACACACACATACAGACACACACACACACAGACACACACACACACACACACAAAATCTAAGGGCCAGATTTTGAAAGGTATTTAGGTATCTAAATGTGCAAATAACATCTCGTGGGATTTTCAAAAGCACCTAAAAAGCAGGTTAGAGACTAACTCTCATTGAAGTTAGTGGATTGGGCATCTAACCTGCTTAGGCACTTTTGAAATCCCATTAGGGCCCTATCTGCAGCGTTAGGTACCTAAATACCTTTGTAAATCTGACCACAGAGCTCTCAGCTGGTCTAAGTATAACTACAGCAATTGATTAGACTCCACTGATTGAAGCTATACTCAATTACACTAGCCGAGGACCTGCAGTGTTTTGGTCAGTTGCTCAAAAACTAGATTTTTTAAATATGGTTATAGGATTAATGAAGGGTAAGATTGTGAACCCCTTATACCTACTGGTGAGCAGCAACTCACAGAAGTACCCAACTGACTACAATGAGGCTACTAGTGCAAGGTGTTAGGTGTTCATCATCTGGCCCTGAGGAAATGAATATTGCAGAAGACATTTGGTCACACTGTATAGTAAGACTTCATTTATAAATACAAGGTTACAAAATGTTTAACAGACGTCTTAATAAAGTGTGAATCAATTGTTGTAGGATCCAACAGGTTGCTCATATATACACATGATTTATAACTATCTAACACACCTTCTACTGATGTGCTTATAACTATCTATAACCCATACTATTACTATCTATAACTTGCATCTATTAACTGCTTATTATTGCTTTATAAACCATTTGTAAATGGAAATTTTGATACTGACCTCCTTTGTAAAATGCTGTGAGATCTACCAATGAAAGCTCCATATTATTAGTATATTATAAATAAGGCTGCAATTCTTTCACAGAGGTCGCAGAAGTCACAGATTCCAGGACTTTCCGCAACCTCCGTGATTTCCACAGCGGCTGGTGCAGCTGACTTCAGGGCCACCTGAGCAGCTAGCCCCAGGGCCAGCTGCACCGACTGCTGCTGGAATGACCCAGGGCCAGCTGCTCCAGCGGTGCCCAGGGCCAGCCGCACCATCCACTGCTTGAGATGCCCCGGGCAGCTGGCTCTGGGGATCATTCAAGCAGCGTCCGGTGCTGCTGGTCCCAGGAAGCATCTGCGCAGTGGTCCCGAGGGCTGCTGTGGGGCCAGCCATACCAGCTGCTGCTCGGCTGGCCCTGGGAAACTGGTTCCGGGGACAACCCAAGCAGAGGTTTGGGGGTGCCCTGGGACTGCCCAAGCAGCAGC